GATGGGTTATCACAGGGTGATCGTCCCCTATCTCCGGGTTAAACTTCAGCTGCCGGGCAAGATTCGACACCTTCGACAAGATTAGAACATGATCCAGCACAATCGCGATTTCTGCCAATTGGTAAAATCCCCTCAGAGCATGAGATACAACCACCCATGCCGCTGCCACTTCCGATTTAAGAAGTCGCAAGTTTACTGGCTCCAATTTGCGATTCGGAGAAGCCATAAGCATCCGCCACGCGTTGCCCTCCGCTATCAGAATCAACATTGCATACACGAACTGTAAGGCTGGTGGCATGCTCGCGTAGCCTCGCGATGATGTGAACACCACTCTCGCCTTTGGTTGGCTCGAATCGAGAAGCTACCAACTCCTGCACCTCGTTCATTGCTGCAAACAGCGTCTGGATTGCTTCCCAGATTTTCTTGGGGGTTGGTTCCCCGCTTGTCAAGTGCTCTAGAAGTCCTGCCGCATGCAGGTGGAAATTCATCCCCGCGAATAGCAACAGCTCTGGCTCACACGGCGTCTCATATTTTATAGACACCACCAGGGTCAGCATTTGATTCAATTCCGCTCAAGGCAGCAGAGTCCCCTCGAAGTCCGATACCGCCACGATGATTGCTCTCGCTGCTCCAGGGTCTGATCGATCGTACACGGTCAACGTTCTGACCAGCTGTGAAGTCCCACAGGATCTCCCATACCTTGGGTCTTCGGTGAGCTTCGGACCCATGTATCCGGTGTCCGAGATCCCCATGCTCTTTGGCTCCAAAAGCTTTTCGACTATTCTAAGCTGTGCGGGAATTGCCACTCTGATCCTGGCTATGCTCGTTCGATGCTTGGGAGGTTCCACGATTAGACCTGGACTCCCAAGCTGCTTGAGGGGCCTGTAAATGACTGGGCTCTTTATCGATTTTTCCGGAATTCCCGTCAAGTCTGCGGTCTCTAGTGTCCTGACTCTCGAAAAAAGCGCCTCGTGGGCCTTTAGCCAGTCCACACAGTGATGCCTGCTCAAGTCCTCGTGCGACAAACTCTTAAGCCCCAGAATATCCGCCAACTCTTGTCTACATGGCAGATCCTCCAGGTCTAGATCTTTCACTCTCTCTAGATATCGGGCTTTGCTTGCCTATCCTGGTATATCCATCTTCTTATTATCCTCCACCAGCACCGAGGACACTACCGAACTCTGGGGTGTGGACAATTTCACCTCGTCTCCTTCCATCGGGGTGGCTTCTAGTTGTCTACTCCTACTGCTCCTTGAGCTTTCTCTCGAGTCAATTCTTCCTTCCAAACGATCGGACAAGGGCCTAGCAGTGAAAAAGGGAGGTGCTGGGGACGGAACAAAGGTGAACTGGCCCGTCTCCAGCATGTCTGACTCCAGATGGTTTATATGCCTTTGGAAGACACCGTTTAGCCGTGCCATCTGAAGACGCATCATCCGAAAGGGAGTGTTCCATCATGCTTGCCACGTCCAGCAGTCTCACGGGGAGTACGCTCCTCTGCTGGATTTGCTTGATGATTTCGTTGAGGTTACTCACCCTTTCGTTCATCTCCCTAGCATTCTGGTCGGCCATCATGTTTTACGGGACGGTGCAAATAGTGAGTATCGCTGGATCTAGATAGATCCTCAATTTCTCAAGAATACAACTCATCTGCTCCTGCAGCCTCATTACTTTCCCCGGCTCGCCTCTGGACATGTCATTGGTTCCCATCATCAGAGTGACCGTATACATCTTCTCCATCTCCAGCATCTCTAGTGACGCCAACATCTGGGGTGTTGCAGCACCAGAAAAACTCAAGACTTTCACCTGTCAATGCGCCTGGATTCGCGTCAACACTCTTACCAGACTGTCCCCTATAATCAAGTGGACTGCACCCTCAGGTATCCTGGACTGCGGGAAATATTCAGCCCAAGAAGCGTCGGGGAAGGCACCCCTCCTTGCGGGTTGTGCCGCCGTCCAATCCACGAGGTTGTACCTGTGATAGGCACCGTCCGTATTCTTTTTGTAGCTGGCGATTATCACACTCCTCACTGCATGATCTCTCCAGGTGGGAGGTCGCTCCTCTCGTGCTGAGTTATCGCGAGCTTTTGACTGCAACCTCTCTTGCAACTCCCTAAGGCGTGACGTGCCCCCCCCCCAGTTTGACTACCACTGGTTGAACTGGGCTTCAATCCCGGCAGCGCGATTTCCATCAAAGGCCTAATTGGGTTTGTCTCTAGATTGCGCATTTAAGGAACTGGCTCGGGACGTGTCCATGCCTCCAGGCCCTCATTCATGTGTTCTTGGGCCACACGGTCCAAGTTGAAGCGACGGCTCGCCCGGGGAGCTTCGTCTACCTCCAGCCGCGACTCTGGTCTCGATCTAGAGACAGCTGGTTCAGTCGTAGTCTTCTTCTTTTCTTTCTTTTTCACAAACTCTACTTGTCTCCTTTGTATCTTCTAAATCTCTGATCTTATCTGCTCACAATTCGCCGTATTCTCGCGCAACCTCTCAGCTTGCTCCCGTTCCGGTTTATCAGATTCAAATCAAGATTCGCTTGGTCCCTCTCAAGAGTCGCTTGGTCTCTTTCCAGGTTCGCTTGGTCCCTCTCGAGAATCGCACCATCCCTGTCAAGGTTGGCCTTGTCCCGCTCCCTCTGGGCCCTTTTCAGTTCCTTTTTCAAGTTGTTGAGGTCCGGGCATGCCTCCTCAGTCTGTTGAGACCGTATCATTGACAATGGCTTGCTTGTGGATTGAACTGCTGCCCCTGCTGGTGGTCTGGTCGGGAGGGGAAACTCTCCCGCACCATATTCCGTGCTGTTGCTCAAGCCAGCGTTTCTCGCAAAGTCATATCCTCTCAGGCCTCCATCCACATTCCAGCATAGCCATCCAGTCTGCTATGATTTTTTATTCCATCTGAAGTAAAGCCCACCATCAAAACGGCTTCAGTTGCTGACTCCCTGCATTCGCCTTGCGCTTCCAGTTGCAGGATGGCATTCAACATTACCGCCTGTCTTTGGTCCACTTGTGTGTGATCGAGGTCCCTCAAGCGCTTGTATAGCTCATCGAGGGTATGTTTTTTGAGGGCTGCTGGCCTAGACTTCCAGAAGTGACCCGACATCATTGCTTCTTCTCAAGCGATCTCACGTATCAACAAACTCACGAAACAGCTTTCCCAAACCAACTCAAGAAATACCTTTCGCAAACCAACTCAAGAAACACCTACCCAGTTAAACTCAAGAAATACCTTCCCAGTTGAACTCATTAAATATCATTCTTTAGTACTGCTGGTCAAGAACCGTTCGAGACCTCTCCTGTTTTGTTCAAGTAAGTGTAGCTTGATTGTCAATTCAAAGGGCAAATCAATCTGAAAATAGAACTCATTTTAAGACAAAGACGTTTCCCGCTCATGCCTAGCCTAAACCTCCCCCTTACTACCTTTAGAACTTTATTCTAACAATTTCTCGAAAAAATAATTCAATTAGACATTTAAAAGCATGCAAACTCATTTCATGTTTTAGCACCATTAGTTCTCTAGAATTTAATTGTCATGCGAGTTACATTAAAATCCATCTACCTGACTCCTAACTCAAGACTTCCATGTCCACTCAAAGCTCAGGCGATACTCAAGTAGTACTTCTTGTGTAGGTGCACCATTATCTCCGTTTATGCAAAGACCACGTGCAGGATGCCGTATATTTCCCTAGGGTTCAACTTGCCCCTGTTTGAATCGTAGACCGGCATTGAGACCTCTCGTATACCTCTTTCGACCATGCAGTCCCTCAAACTAGTTAGTGCCAACATCACATACTTGGGGTCTATCGTGTTCCTTTCATTGACCCTCGTCACCAAAAAGCACAGGTAGTTACCAGGAACTTGTGAAACTGAAGGGGGAAGCGCACCCATTCCTCCCAACCCCGATCTATTCCTAAATAGAAACTCTACGTTCTGATATTCTCTTCTGAAGTCTGCTTCCAGTCCCGTGTTGAAGCTCATGTCCGCTGTTATGCAGATTGCACTAGGCCTATCTGACAAAACTGTTTCCCTGTCTGTGATCAGGATGTTCTCTGAATATTCATTCGGTTTCTCGAATTTTGTCTTCAAATTTCTTCGTATGGTAGACTCAGCTTCCTCTTGATCCAGTTCCAACCCGTTAGTCTCTCTCACTTCCCTGAGCTTCTTTATCATCAAATTTTCCGTGTGGGTAAGTCCTACCCCCCACTCTCGGACAAAAATATTTATTGACGTCCCCGTCGATGGTGCTGTGTTCAAGTTATCCGGTGGTATTTCCAGTGGCCGGTCAGTGGCTGTGCAACCAAATAGTGGATTTCCTGTTTTCACATGTTTCCTTGCTGACACGTCGACTTGCTGGATTTTTTGCGCTTCCTTCTCGTCAGTTCCAAGGTTATGCTTCCATTCCAGTATCCTCAGGTTTGTATTTTCCTTTCTTTCTATCTCGCTTTGTTCCAGGTCTACTTCTCGTTCTGGCACGGAGTAGTCCTCTTACAAGGAAAACTCACTTTCGTTGATGATCTGCCACTCTTCATCGGCTACCAGCTCGCCCATGTTCACCAACTCCTCGCCTATCTCCTCGGTTTGTATCTTGTCAGTGAAGAAGTCGTCACCATACTTGCTGTACCTCATGCCTGTCCGTTTGCGATCGCCTCTTCTTGTCCCTGTGGTCATTGGAAAGTCTGGTTCTGTCCACTTTGGCACTTCGTTCTACTCCGGATCATTGCAATCTTCGTCCGCGAAAGATCCTCAGTCCGAATCTACCTCAATTTTTTCGTTATCATCCATGCTCACGTCCTCGTTGCCGTCATTCTTCTCTGTGGTGCTTTTCTCGCTCACCTCACATGCTGGCTCCACCAGTAGATACTAGAGTCCTTTCATGTTCTGCGGCACACACCAGTCTTCCGGAGATGGGACGTGGGGTTTCAGATTTTTGTAGCACGCCGCACGCCCCGAACTCAAGCGATAGAACCGGCCCTGCTGGTGTACCTCCGTTATCACAAACGGTTCTCTTTATCTCTTAAGTAACTTTTTAGTTCCTTTTGGAGGTATGAAATTCTGGAACACCCAGACGTATTGTCCCACAGCATACGGTTTTGCTTGAAGTATTTTTTCATCGTACTTCTTCCGCTGTCTCATTTGTGCCTGCGCCGTGTTCCTTCTACAGAGCTCGTTCAATTCCTGTTGCCTCCTGGCCGCTTCTTTCACATACGCCTGAGGCGACGTCTTTTTCCCTTCGTATTCTGGATAGAAGAATGTCAGGGGCATCGCTTTCTCCCTGCCAGTTAACATAATGAAAGGACTGATCCCTGTTGTTGAATGCTGCGTGCTGTTATACGCCTGCACCACTTGCGGCAGATACTTATCCCAATCGGTCATATATCTCGAGCAATATACCCTGAGCATGTTCACCAGTGTTCTGTTCTGCCTCTCCACTAATTCGTTCGTTTGAGGATGGTAGGTTGTTGAATGCCCTTTAACAATGTGCGATCTCCTAATCAATTCTTTTGTCACGTCCCTCACGAAGTCTTTCCCATTGTCTGATTGGAATGTCATCGGAACCATATCGTGATATCCACTGCGTTATCAAATGATCACAAGTCTCTTCCGCGGAGGCCGTCTGGCATGGTACCGCTTCTGCCAGTTTCGTAAAGTGATCTATAATTACCAGTATCTGATTGTATCCCGATTCGGTCATTCAGCTGTTCTGATGGTCTATCTGCACGACCTCGTCAAATTCCGAGCTTTCCGCGGAGTTAAGTGGTAATTTCATTTTTCTAGGGTCTTTCACTTGCAAACACGACAAACATGCGTTCACCCACCTTTCTCAAGCCTTTCTCAACCCTGGCCAATCAAACCTGTTCAGTATTCTTCGTTGTACCTTGTCTATCCCCTGATGTCCCATCTGGTCGTGCGATCTGAACAACATTTCCGTCTCGTATAGCTGTGGTAGTATGATGAGATTATGCCTGTGTAATATCTTCTCCTCATCTTTCCTCCTACAGGCTGCCACACCATCAGATGTGTGATAGAGTAAGTCCCTTCTCTCTTTGTAGAACTGGCTCAAGATCTTGTAACTATCCTTCTCCAGGTCTCCTTTCTCCTTGGCTCCCGTCCGGATCCATTGGGAGAGATTGCTCGTCATCTTGTCCTTCTCCTGGTCTCGTATCAGACCCGACAGTCTGTAACTCGCTTTGAAGTGTTCCTTCTTCCCCACCATCTTTTTATAAAAAAACCAAATACTTTTTAAATTAGTTTTTTTTATATCAAAAAATGGTGGGGGAAGACCTGCATGTCTCAGGTCTTCACCCACCATATTTTGATAAAAAACTAAGTTACAAAGAAAGTTTTTGTTTTTTTTTTAAATCAAAATATGGTGGGGGAAGACCTGAGACATGCACAAACGTGCGTTTCAGGGCCTGAAACGAACGTTTATGCATGTATCAGGTCTTCCCCTACCATTTTTTGATAAATAAACAAAACATTTTATAAATTTGTTTTTTTTTAAATCAAAATATGGTGGAGGAAGACCTGAGACAAGCATAAACGTACGTTTCAGACCCTGAAACGCACGTTTATGCATGTCTCGAGTCTTCCCTCACCAAATTTTGATAAAAAAACCAAAAACTTTCTTTATAAATTAGTTTTTTTAATCAAAATATGGTGGGTGAAGACCTGAGACATGCATAAGCGTACGTTTCAGGCCCTGAAACGCACGTTTATGCATGTCTCAGATCTTCCCCCACTATGTTTTGATTTAAAAAATAATTTATAAATTGTTTGCTTTTTTAATCAAAATATGGTGGGGGAAGACATGAGACATGGATAAACGCGCGTTTCAGGCCCTGAAACGCACGTTTATGCTTGTCTCAGGTCTTTCCTCACCATATTTGATAAAAAAAGCTAAATTATAAATTATTGGTTTTTTTTATATCAAAAGATGGTGGAGGAAGACATGAGACATGCATAAACATGCGTTTCAGGCCCTGAAACGCACGTTTATGCATGTCTCAGGCCATTCCTTACCGTCTTTTGATAAAAAATAAATACTTTATAAATTAGTTATTTTAAAGCAAATTTAGGTGGGGGAAGACCTGCGACATGCATAAACGTGCGTTTCAGGGCCTGAAACGCACGTTTACGCATGTCTCAGGTCTTCCCTCACCATATTTTGACATTAAAACCAAATACTTTCTTTATAAATTAGTTTTTTTTATCAAAATATGGTAGGTGAAGACCTGAGATATGCATACTTGTGCGTTTCAGGGGCTGAAACGCACGTTTATGCATGTCTCAGGTCTTCCCCCACCATCTGATAAAAAAACCAAATACTTTTTAAATTAGTTTTTTTATATCAAAAAATGGTGGGGGAAGACCTGCATGTCTCAGGTCTTCACCCACCATATTTTGATAAAAAACTAAGTTACAAAGAAAGTTTTTGTTTTTTTTTAAAAAATCAAAATATGGTGGGGGAAGACCTGAGACATGCACAAACGTGCGTTTCAGGGCCTGAAACGAACGTTTATGCATGTATCAGGTCTTCCCCTACCATTTTTTGATAAATAAACAAAACATTTTATAAATTTGTTTTTTTTAAAAATCAAAATATGGTGGAGGAAGACCTGAGACAAGCATAAACGTACGTTTCAGACCCTGAAACGCACGTTTATGCATGTCTCGAGTCTTCCCTCACCAAATTTTGATAAAAAACCAAAAACTTTCTTTATAAATTAGTTTTTTTAATCAAAATATGGTGGGTGAAGACCTGAGACATGCATAAGCGTACGTTTCAGGCCCTGAAACGCACGTTTATGCATGTCTCAGATCTTCCCCTACTATGTTTTGATTTAAAAAATAATTTATAAATTGTTTGCTTTTTTAATCAAAATATGGTGGGGGAAGACATGAGACATGGATAAACGCGCGTTTCAGGCCCTGAAACGCACGTTTATGCTTGTCTCAGGTCTTTCCTCACCATATTTGATAAAAAAGCTAAATTATAAATTATTGGTTTTTTTTTATCAAAATATGGTGGAGGAAGACCTGAGACAAGCATAAACGTACGTTTCAGACCCTGAAACGCACGTTTATGCATGTCTCGAGTCTTCCCTCACCAAATTTTGATAAAAAACCAAAAACTTTCTTTATAAATTAGTTTTTTTAATCAAAATATGGTGGGTGAAGACCTGAGACATGCATAAGCGTACGTTTCAGGCCCTGAAACGCACGTTTATGCATGTCTCAGATCTTCCCCTACTATGTTTTGATTTAAAAAATAATTTATAAATTGTTTGCTTTTTTAATCAAAATATGGTGGGGGAAGACATGAGACATGGATAAACGCGCGTTTCAGGCCCTGAAACGCACGTTTATGCTTGTCTCAGGTCTTTCCTCACCATATTTGATAAAAAAGCTAAATTATAAATTATTGGTTTTTTTTATCAAAAGATGGTGGAGAAAGACATGAGACATGCATAAACATGCGTTTCAGGCTCTGAAACGCACGTTTATGCATGTCTCAGGCCATTCCTTACCGTCTTTTGATAAAAAATAAATACTTTATATATTAGTTATTTTAAAGCAAATTTAGGTGGGGGAAGACCTGCGACATGCATAAACGTGCGTTTCAGGGCCTGAAACGCACGTTTACGCATGTCTCAGGTCTTCCCTCACCATATTTTGACAATAAAACCAAATACTTTCTTTATAAATTAGTTTTTTTTATCAAAATATGGTAGGTGAAGACCTGAGATATGCATACTTGTGCGTTTCAGGGCCTGAAACGCACGTTTATGCATGTCTCAGGTCTTCCCCCACCATCTGATAAAAAAACCAAAAACTTTATAATTTGTTTTTTTTTTAAATCAAAATATGGTAGGGGAAGACCTGAGAAATGCATAAATGTGTGTTTCAGGCCCTGAAACGCACGTTTATGCATGTCTTAGGTCTTCCCTCACCATATTTTAATAATAAAAAACTAATTTATAAATTATTTTTTTTAATCAAAGTATGTTGGGGGAAGACCTGAGACACAATTAAACGTGCGTTTCAGGCCCTGAAACACACGTGTATGCATGTCTCAGGTCTTCTCCCACCATATTTTGATAAAAAAACTAATTTAAAAAATTATTTCGTTTTTTTTATCAAAAGATGGTGAAGGTAGACTTGAGACATGCATAATCGTGCATTTCAGGCCCTGAAACGCACGTTTATGCATGTCTCAGATCTTTCACCACCATATTTGATAAAAAAACTAATTTAAAAATTATTTCGTTTTTTTATCAAAAGATGGTGGAGGTAGACTTGGAACATGCATAATAGTGCTTTTCAGGCCCTGAAACGCACGTTTATGCATGTCTCAGGTCTTCCTCCACCATCTTTTGATAAAATAACCAAATAATTTGTAATTACTTTTTTAAAATAAAAATATGCCGGAAGAAGACCTGAGACATGCATAAACGTGCGTTTCAGGGCCTGAAACGTACGTTTATGCATGTCTGAGGTCTTCTCCGCCATATTTTTTTAATAAAAAAACTAATTTGTAACATATTTGGTTTTTTAAAATCAAAATATGGTGGGGGAAGACCTGAGACATGGTTGAACGTGGTTTTCAGGCCCTGAAACGCACGTTTATGCATGTCTCAGGTCTTCCCCCACCATATTTTGATAAAAAACAAATACTTTATAAATTAGTTTTTTTAAATCAAAAAATGGTGGGGGATGACCTGACCTGAGACATGCATAAACGTGCGTTTCAGGCCCTGAAACGCACGTGTATGCATGTCTCAGGTCTTTCCCCACCATATTTTGATAAAAAAACAAATTTATAAAACATTTGGTTTTTTTTAAATCAAAATCTGGTGTTGGAAGACTTGAGACATCCATAAACGTGCCTTTCAGAGCCTGAAACGCACGTTTATGCATGTCTGATGTCTTCCCCGCCATTTTTTTCTAAAAAAAAGAAATTTATAATTCATTTGGTTTTTTTTATCAAAAAATGGTGGAAGAAGACCTGAGACATGCCTAAACGTGGTTTTCAGGCCCTTAAACTCACGTTTATGCATGTCTCAGGTCTTCCCCCACCATCTTTTGATAAAAAACCAAATACGTTATGTTGAGTTTTTTTAATCAAAATATGGTGGAAGAAGACCTGAGACATGCATAAACGTGCGTTTCAGCCCCTGAAACGCACGTTTATGCATGTCTCAGGTCTTTATCCACCATATTTTGATTAAAAAGCTAATTTATAAATTTTTTGGTTTTTTTTATCAAAAGGTTTTGGGGAAGACCTGAGACTTGAATAAACGTGCATTCCAGGGCCTGAAACGCACGTTTATGCATGTCTCAGGTTCCCCCACCATATTTTGATTAAAAAAAAACAAACTAAAAAAGTATTTGGTTTTTTTTTAATCAAAAGATGATGTTGGAAGACCTGAGACATGCATAAACGTGCGTTTCAGGCCCTGAAACGCATGTTTATGCATGTCTCAGGTCTTTTCCCAACATAATTGATAAAAAAACTAATTTATAAATTATTTGTTTTTTTTTATCAAAAGATGGTGGAA